TTGTTATTTTCTTTTGATGACAATCAATCCACTTTTTTTTTTAAATGATCTCATCTGGAGGCACCTAACACTTTTTCCAGTTTATTTGAAGTACTCAAAGGGTCATCGTGTATTGTCAATGTTCATTACGTGACAACACTCAACATCTATGGTCAGCCCTCCTGTCGACACAGTCCATAGTTAGCCACAATGTGGGTCCCACCTTCCCAAGCAAAGAGGAAGCCCCCAAATCCCTTCATCTTGCAGCACACGAATAAAGTCCCATCAATCAGATATCATCTCAAGAGATGAAATTCGGAAGTAAGCATAATGGGAGGCAGCAGCACCCAAGAGAATCGTCTGCTAATGCACAGGGCACACACTCTACTTTGTTCCACTGGTGATACTGACTTACCTCCTGGATTATAAACGCTACTCAGCCTTGGGAAGGCTAGTAGTTGAAGGCTGTTCCTCTAGAGAACCCACAGGCACAATGGGCTGTGTAAAGGAGTGCTCTCAAGCCCCTTGAGTGACCTGTGAGTGACTAGAACTAGAATGCTCTTTAATAAAGCCCATTTGTGCTGGAATTAGCAAGAGTGAATTCTGTAGCTTGCAGCTAAGAATTGTGACTCACACATGAAGACAATTTAGGATTGGATCTATTTCATGAATTTTGCTTGCAAAATTTTAAGAGAAGGGTCCTTTGTCCTATCTTAGAAATTTTCTTGAATTATTAAACAATAAAAGCTTAATCTGTTAAAATTTATCTGCTTTCCTTTAAAATATATATCGTAGTTAGCATATATCACAAATAAAATTATATTGATGTTACATGCAACACTAATTTATTCACATATTTATCTATTAATACAACTATATCACACAGAAGTAGACATATACATCTGTATCATACTATATTACTTTATATAATTATATAATCACAGGAGTATATATGCTATAGATAAATATTTTGACCCATGAGCTTTATATACTTCAATTTCTATCAGTCATAATTTTCTTCCAATTATTACTTTCCAAGGAGTTTTGGGAAAGTATCTACAGCTTCTATTTAAGTGATTAGTCTATTAACTTTACATTACCTTTATTGCAGTTTTAAGGGATCCTACTAATCTCTCAGTTCTCTTTTCTGATGTTATAATGTTCCTCTTTCCAACTACCTATTGCATTTCTAAAGTAAATTAGGTTATGCTATGCCAACCCATTCTGAATTACCACCAATTTAAGACAAAAAAGTTTATTTCTCGCCCATCTGACCATTCCAATGAGGGAGGGAAAGGAAATTTGTTTCCCTTCAGGTTCAAGGTCTGTTTGCACTGTCTTCAAGTCAGAAAAAGGAAAGTGTACTCAGCTTTTCTTACAAGTGACATCTGTCCCATTTACACATTCAGTGACCCAAAAAAAGTAAGTGTAGATCTTTACCTTTGAAGAAGTGGAGGCCAAACCCATGTGGTGAACAACAGTAGTATTGGTTCCTCACCATCTAGGTTTCATGTGAATCACCTTGAAGTAGAAACTAAGCATATTCGAAGTGGCTTTTGAGGGTTTTTTGTTGTTGTTTTGTCTCGGTTTTGCAGTACTGAGAATCAAACACACAGGTTTGATCTGCTGAGCTACTTCCCAGCCATTTTTTTATTTTTGAGACGGGCTCACTAAGTTGCCTGTGCAGGACTCAAATTTATGATCTTCCTGCATCAGCTTCCTAAGTGCTGGGATTAAAGGCATGTATCACCTCCCTCAGTTCTTAAATTTCTAATGTTAATTCTGCTTCCCAGGGTGCTTACTTTAAATACCTTTTCTTTGTTGCTCTTATCTGAATGCCAAATGGAAGTTAAGATTTCTCAAAATTTGCCTTTCCTTTTTTTTAAACCTTTGCTTCTTCTACAAAGGAAAACTTTTTGGTACTGCTGACAGTTGAAGTGGTTCTGTAAGAAACTTCTCCAATTTCAAGCCTCTTAAAAAGTTCAGTTAACAAAGACTTGTTCCATGAAAGCTGGTCCTGACTCTCACTTCTTCCTCATTCAGACCAAATAACTTTTGTAAAAAAAATATTGGGAATGAACAGTACTTTTTCTTTGTTAATAGATTCTTTTGGTCATGTCTAGGAAATAGCCAAGGAAAGGAAAGTTAAATCAGAGTGGTAGAACCATGTATTAAACATACACTTTTACTAAATTGTTGAGTTGGAATATCTGGTAAAGCATTAATCCAGCTAACCAAGTCACAAACAGAAATTCACCTTTTTCTTCACACCTGACTTATCACCAAACGTTGCCAATTTTTCTCCTAAAATCTCTCAGAGAAACCAAAGTTTTGATGTGAGGAGTAAAATCAAATTCAGTTTAGAGCCAGGCAACCATGCCTTACTCCCAGCAGTCTGGGAGATAGGAGGACTGCAAACTCAAGCCTCACCTATACAACTTAGCAAGACCCTGTCTCAAAATTAGAAATAAAAACTGCTGGGAGCCTAGTTCAGTCTGAAGGCCCTGGGTCCAAGCCCCAATACCACCACCCCCACAGTAAATTTAGGACACCACACGTTTCCAGGTAGTTAAGATTTTACTTTATATATAATACCAAATAAGCAAAATCTTGATAGCAATCATTTTGATAAAGCTACATTCAAGGAAAGACCAACAGCTTTTCTTATCTTTCAGCAAACAAAATGCTAAATGTTTTTCACTAATAAATAAAGACTGGCATTCAGTCTGCACAATAAGCACTGAAGAAATACTTGAATTTGAGGGAACTGGAAAACACAAAGGCTACATGAAATCATTCCTGGAAAATGCCACTGAGTTGAGTGAGCGCTTACCAGGCTGTTATGCTCACGACTGCGGTCAGTACAAGAAGGTAGTGACTAGAACTTAATGAGGAATGCAGACCTTAGAAGGCTTGAGAGAAGGTTCTGAAAAATAAATCCTAAAGATTTCTACAACAACAAGGTGGAACAAAAACTTTCCTGTTTTCTAGCACTATGGTAACAGAAAAAAATTACAAGTGATATATTTAACAAGGACATTTTTTGTAATATTCTGATAATGGATTTCAATTGGTAGACCTTGAATTCAGGACACTATCTTAATATGTAGCAAATGACTTCTTGATGAAAATATTTATCAAGTAAGATGAATAAGTCTATAGAAGCTCATGCTTTCTTGTCCCTATAAATGGTCTATTTTGACAAGAAGCACAGTGTTTTATTCATGAACAGAAAGGCTTCTTCCTGGCAAGAATTTGTCATGCAAATTAAGGTATTAAAGATCATCCTTGCACTGAACGTTCTTGAAGATTGGCTATATTCAGACGATTTAGAAATATAGCCAATAGTCAACTGACTCCTGATTTCTTTCTGTAGATGCCAGCTTTCTCCAACTCATGATAAAACAAGTGTTTTGGGAATGTTAAACATTAATGTAGAGGAAGAGCATTCATCAGAAACTTTACAGTATGTACTCCCTGTAAACCAGGCTTTAGATTTCTTTTTTAAAACTATTAAAAAGCCTCCTGCTGAGATACATATCTAACAGAGATTTTAAATGACAAACACAAGTTGATGTATAAAATTTGCTTTGAATATTGGTTGGGGGGGGTGAGGTGGAGGGGCTGAGATTAGGAAAGGGCAGCACAAGGGATACTACTTGTGATAATGGAACTGCACTGTGATGTGACTGAGGGGATGGACATGTAGAGCTGTGTGTGTGACAAAACTGCAGGGAACTAAACATACACACACCCACATGCACACACTCACGTGTGCACAAAGGGGGTATAAGTAAAACCAAGGAAACTCAACACAGTCGGTGAACTGCATCAGTATCAATATGCTGGCTATGATAATAATGTGCTCTAGTTTTGTAAAATATCATTTGGAAAAATGGAAAAATGGTACAGATTTGCTCAAGATTATTTCTTACAAATACACTTGAACCTAAATGACCTGAAAATAAAGGTGAAAAATAAACAGATCCTTTATATTTCTCAAAGGCCTGTGTGTACGTACGTGTATATGCTGGCAATTAAACCCAGGGCCTGACTCATGTTAATAAGATGGTTTCCTATTGAGCCTAATCCCAGACCAGAAGTTCTTGTTTTCCTTCCCTTGTGAGAGTAATCTACATAATTACAAATCTATCCCTAGAAGTCAAGTAGAGAGACCACAGTGTGGCTGTTATTTAATGAAACATTGAGGTAGGGACTTAATGGAGTAAAATGCAAGTAATAATATGCGAGAAGAGACAAGCATATTGTTAGAAGAACAAATGATGCCCTTCTCCTTCCTTTTCCCTCCCCTTCTCTTTTCTTTTCTTTTTTCTGGTACTGAGGCCTGAACCCAGTGCCTCTTACGTGCACTGAGCCTCTAAGCTGCATTCCTAGTCATGTATAACTCCTTTCCGTTTTGAAAACATCCTAATACCACTTATGGATGCACTTTCTTTTCATTTTCACAAAATAATAGCTGATCTGACTTTTGTATTCTTGTGATCACCTCTGAATAACCCTTCTGAAAATAGAAGTGGTAATTTCCAAAAATACATTGTTCCAAAACACAGCAATTGTGCTGAGTACAAGGGTATTCAAATTTACTTAAGTAAATTTGTATTTTATAATCCTTCCCACTATTAGTTTAACACATTCAAAAGTATTCACATGCTACAGTTAACAATATAGAAACACAAACAATCGAGATGCACTTGAATAACTGATAATGTTTTGTAGTGGAGACATTTAATTTGACAATTATTACATTAAATATTGTAGTTTTCCTTTTGTATTTTATGATCAGACTAAATTTCTGGAGGGAAGGAAATAGCCAGGGAAGGTCTAAGTAATATTCAGTCTTCAGGGCTCACCTGCCCTGCACGTGGTAAACAGACTATAGTAAATAAAACTGTTCTAAGTTTTTCATGGTTACACACCATGACTGATAGGGAAACTAATATAACTAACTGCCTTAGCAAAGTCACAGTATTGGTCTTTAAGGTACAGAAAGAAAAACTAACCTGAGCATGTGGGCAGCATTAAAGACAACATCGAACTCTGTACTATCTAGCTCAGCTGCTTTTTTTGCCATCTCAGCTGCTTCTAAGAGGCGAGCTTCTTCCAGAAGAAACTGACCTGCAAAGCATGAAAGCATGAGAAATTCAATACAGAAAATGATAATCGCATGAAATGATAAAGCTGCATTTAGAGAAAAATAAGTACAGTGGTAAAGGTGACTTGAAGGTAAGCTTTAATGCCAAGCTCATTTCCTAGTCATATTTTAAATGTCTTTCCTTTAATTGCAGGACACAGGAAGGATTTCAATACAAGAAAAATCACTTTTTTTTTTCTTATAAAGAAATCCTCTATGGACTTTTCAAGCAAAAAACAAAACAAATGCATTTAAAATTATATTACAAATATGAGCTGAGTTGATTTTAACTGTCACTGCTTTACAACTTCTGTCTCTGACATACGCATTATTTCTTACATTTAAGTAATGCTGAAATTAAAGAACAAATTTAATTATTCTTTAATAATAAAGGAAGACAGGCTTTGTAATAACAAACTCTGAATTCTAACCTGGAATACAAGTGGGATAAATGTCAACAGTTTTGAGACCACTGTAAGGTCAACTTTGCAAGGATAGAATTATTGGAGACAGAACAATAAAGCTCTATAAATTGTACCTCAAGAATTGTTATGTAATGCTATCTAGGAAATTTACTCAAAAGGCAAAGTAAACAGAGTCAGATCCAATTTTAAGGCAACAAATATGCAAACACAGAAAAAGGCTGCACTTTGAAAAGCGAGGATTTACTACGAAAGAGCAAAAGTAATTGTATGAGGTTTGATCTGATATGAATATTCAAATAAAAATCAAATCAAAGGGTGACAGAGATCTAATGAAGACATCTCAGCACCTGCCAGGTCTGTGGCATTGTAGTCTAATTAGCGTCTCTTTTTATTTGGGGGTCCCTGTGTGCTGAAAGTTTGAGACTATTTAGCACTACAAAAATAGTTGTAAGAATGATTTGCAAATCCTGAGTTACACACAGAAATAGAAATGGTTGTTAGTAGAACTCATTATGTATCTAATAGCTGTGACAAATTATGTTTAACCCCAAAACATCTGTTCAAATAAAAGGGAAAATATGTTTTAGGGTTTCTAATAATCAATAGTCCTTGCATGGTTAAATATTTCTAAAGTGTTAAAAATGGTGAGTAAATATAAACCTAGGATTATAAAGTCCACTATTTTAAAACAAGAGAAAAAGGATTACATCACTTTCCCACATTCTGTGCCCTATTTATTCTCAAAACAAGTGAAATTGTATGTTCAGAAAAATTATTAAGAAAATATAGTTGTGGGACAGGGATTTAGCTCAGTGGTTCCGGCGTCTGCCTCACATGCGCAAGGGCCTGAGTTCAATTCCCAGTACCAAAAAAAAAGAAAAGAAAAACAAAATATAGTTGTAAATAAACATTTAAAATATAAAAATAATTACTCTGAAATTTCTGTACATTCTAACTCTACAAATAAGAGATGCAAATGAAATTAAAGTATATGCTTGTTAAAAAAAAAAAACCAAAAACCTAAAACCATGAGCAGGGGATTTAGCTCAGTGGTTCTGCCACCTGCCTTGTAAGTGCAAAGTCCTGAGTTCCATCCCCATTACCAAAAAAAAAAAAAACCCAAAAAACACTAAAACTGGATAATCTACGGGACATTGAAAATGCAATTTCTCCTCAAATATATCTTAATAAAAGATACCATTTATGCTTATTAGATTTTTAAATTTGAACCTAATATTAATTGCTACCTGTCTTAGAAACGCAGTATTTAAGCAAATGCATTAACAAATATGTTAATTATTTATGTGGTATTTAAACAAAGGACAATGTAGGAAATTATTTATTGTTCTTTTTTCCCAGGTAGTTATTAACTCTGAATTACAATGTTCTGAATTATAGTTAGAAAAAATGCAACAATTAATTGCATAATGAAGATTATTTATATTAAAATGCATCATTCCAGCCTGGAATAGGAAACATACTGACTCTGGTAAAAAAAAAAATTAATAAATGAAGGAAGGAAAGATATGGCATTTATTGTGTTCACTCAAGAAACTGAGACGAAACTGACAGATTATCTGTGTGATGAAGATAACAGTAACACTAGTCAAGCGAAGTCCAGGCCAAAGCTGTTCAAGCTTTGTCAGTGCTAAACCCATCGTCAATGTTCAACCCATAAATGCAGTTGACATTAACTACTGATGTTAGCATAGCACAAAATCAAATAAGCAATCCGATCGTAAGTGAAAAACATTCACGTTTCAATAAGCTTTGCCATGCAATATGCCCTTTTTAAAAACTGCTTACAAAGTCTAAAAAACACTCTAAATGCATACTTTTTAGGACTGTAAATGGTTTACAATGAAAGTCCCTATGTGGACATTGTATAGCAGAATAATTCATTTGTGTTAATATTTAAAAATAATATTACAACATAATAGTCATGTATATAATTGTGCAGTTGCAATCTTTTCTCAATAGACCACATTATCTGAATAGTCTCATATTGGTGCTTTGTTATGATAAAAACATACAGTATTATGAAGTGTGAATCATTAGTTTTTGTAACTGAATTTGAATACCTGAACCGTTTTTTAAAAGAATCAATATCTTAACAACCAAATAAATGTTGTCACTGTACTCTGCATTCTAATTATACATGATATTAGCTCCCAGTTAGAATGAGCTCTTCTGGTAGTCTTCTGGTATATGGAAGGCCCTTTCCTAAATTCCGAGACAAAGTGAGTAGCTACATGACAGTTACATGACAGGTACATGAATGACATGCTCATTAAATTTAAGTTTACACTTGTAAAACTCTTTAAGGAGAGTTGAGTTTTTTCCTTTACATGCAAAAATAACAGTTCTGAGCAATCACTTCTTTTTCAAATAGAGTAGACAAACACATGCTTTGTGTTTGATAATTGAGTAGAATTTCAAATAAAGAAAATCTTAAGTAAAATATGATTTTGTTCTCATACGTGTTTTGTCACTACCACATTCTCTTTGGGTTTGTAATTTGTCTTATCCAAGTTAATTATCATCATCTAACTTCATTGTCTCAAATCAAAGGGAGAAGAAAGAAAGGAAATGAAAAATATCAAACTTGAGAAATTGTAAAGAAAAAAGTCACATGAATAGGGGAAAAACAGAATATGATTTAAAAAGAGCAAGCATTCTCCACAGCAGTTACAGAGATAAAGAGTGTAACTCTCCCCACAGAGTAAAATTTCTATGCTCTAAACAGAAAAGAAAGAAAGAAAGAAAGAAAGAGGGAAAGAAAGAAAGAGGGAGAGAGAAGAAAAAAGAAAGCATTACTTCAAATAAAGAAAATCTTAAGTAAAATATGATTTTGTTCTCATACGTGTTTTGTCACTACCACATTCTCTTTGGGTTTGTAATTTGTCTTATCCAAGTTAATTATCATCATCTAACTTCATTGTCTCAAATCAAAGGGAGAAGAAAGAAAGGAAATGAAAAATATCAAACTTGAGAAATTGTAAAGAAAAAAGTCACATGAATAGGGGAAAAACAGAATATGATTTAAAAAGAGCAAGCATTCTCCACAGCAGTTACAGAGATAAAGAGTGTAACTCTCCCCACAGAGTAAAATTTCTATGCTCTAAACAGAAAAGAAAGAAAGAAAGAAAGAAAGAGGGAAAGAAAGAAAGAGGGAGAGAGAAGAAAAAAGAAAAAGCATTACTGTTTTGGATTCAACTATTGCAGCACCAGAGTTACATCTTTTTTTTTTTTCACTGAACCATTCTAACCATTTATTAGATTTTTACAAATATTTCAATATGACGAGACTGTGAAAATCAATCCTTCATTAATTCCTGGATTTCAAAAGCTCTGTCTGTGAGATAAAAATCTGTACAGACAGAAGCCAGCCTTAAGCTCTAGGCTCAATCACTGCTTTGTAAAAAGTCTATGGTTTTAGCTCAGTGGCACTGCGTCTGCCTCTTAAGCACAAGGTCTTGAGTTCAATCCCCAGCACCAGAAAATAAAAGTCTATATATAAACTTTCTAGATTAATTGGAACTGGCATCTCATGCCAAAAATACTATGAAAAACTCACTCTTAAAGATCAAAGTAACTAAAGACCTGTAATACATGTCACGATGACACAATTCTCTTTGATAACAATCATTCATATGTAGCTTTACAAAATGTTCAAAGGCGATGAAAATCTTACTTACAAAGTAACAGCTACTTTGTATTAGGTAAATATTTGATCACTGAAATGTAAACAGAATCATCTGACCTTTACCAATGCCACCCCTTTTCAAGCCATCACCTTGCCCTGGATTACAGCAGTAACATCATAAATGGTCCAGTACTTCTGACCTTGACGCACAGCATTTCCTCAAAACAGCAGTCAGAGTGCACTTGTTAAAACCAAGGCCATATTGCACCATTCAGTAGCCCATCCAAGGGTACTTGTCTGGGCCAACACATCTTATCTTGATGTGATCCGCATTGGGCCCTTTCACATTTCCTAATCACATCAGAGGAACAAAGCTTGCTACTCCAGGGTCTTTTAATTTGCCTTTCCCTCCACCTGGAATGCTCCTTTCCCAGTCAATGCATTCAACCTCCTGGTGCATGGTAAGGATTCAGCAAACTCATGTTTAACGATGGGACTAAATTAATGACAACCATTTACAGCTACTTGATTCATCTTCAAGAGCAAGCTAGAACCTTGACAATGTAGGTTACCAGACACATTTTTAATTATTTGCCAACACCGGCCAGTGATTTGAGGCAGGGCTATGGCAAACAACACAGTGCTGGGCACTGCACAATGCCTAAGGTGCCGTCCACGGTGAAGTTTTTATGAGTGGTACCTCTGCACCTGAACAACATATGTCCCTCGTTTGAGACCTCTGAATTTCTCTTGGAACATAAAAAATTTCAGACTCAATTTTATCTTCAAAGACTTCTTAAATTGAAAATAGTTCAAATTATACAATTTGGTAACATCTATTACAAATCACTGTTATTGCAGAATAATTCAACAGCAGACATAGAAAAAGAAATCATATGGGAACAGAAGACAG